AAGATGGGGCAATCTACTTCCGTAGTGATACTGCCTCGGAAACCCAAGGAGGGGTCGCTATGAGTCGGGTCCGACTCGACAGCACATAACAACAACAACAGCAGGGTCACTATGAGTTGTAATTGACTCGACAGCACACAACATCAGAAACAACACACTATCTATACTATTTTGTACCCTTTTTAAAGTTTACAACATAAGTAAAATGCTTTAGAAAATCTAATGGTATAATTTTGTTCTTTTCCTCCCTGCTTCCCTGTTCTAACATTAGAGAAAAATTCCCAGGTTTAGAACCATGTTCAGTAACCTGATCCATTATCCAAGATATTCTCTGTATTGGGACAAGTCAGATCCTGTCCCACAGTTCATCAGTCGGGAATGGAGAGGATATGAAGAACAACGTAGAGAAGCTCTCCAGCAGCTTGCAGTGTAAGTGTTAGGGGGCTGCTTAGAATGTGTGTGTGTTAATAGTATATTCTGCATTATTTAAAACTGTAAAATTTGACATGTTATACCTAAAATGGATCCCAAATTCTTTTTCTAAACCCATTTGAGCAAAATGAGCCTGATTCAGGAGTAATAGTTTTAGGCTTACTGCTTAGTAGATGTCCACAGAAGGTCACAATGAATACACCTGCAACTGAGTGGAGTCAAAGTGTGGCCTGCATCCCCGGTTGAAGACAGGTAAGTAAACATGATAACTCAGTTCCTTAAGAGCTGAATAGGATGAAAACTCAACTAGTGCCCCACCCTGGTTAAGACAGGTAGGACCCTGGTTGGAATCAAATAAGCAAACATAATAACTCAGTTCCTTAAGAACTTAATGGAACGAAAAGTCAGTTTACACATTCTTTTCATGCAATTTCACCTAGAAACAGGTGATAAGCACATTAATGTGTCTCAGGAGACAATTTGAAAATTAACCTTGGCCCACGGACATGCAGTGAGACAAACAGGATTAAAGTTGCTGGGAACTGACACTATCCCCTCTGCCTAAGCCCCAGTCAGCTGATGACAGGAAGCCGGTATTATTCATCCAGTGCTCAAGCATACTGCATTAAAAAACAGCTGTCCCTGTAAACTGAGGCAAAGGAAATTTCAGCCAATTGTCAACTATTTCACACCCAAATTTCTGAAATTGTTATGAATATGCATAACCCCCTCTCCTGAAACTTACAAAAACTGTAACTCAATTTGGATTTGGGGAGTCAGATTTGGGTACGGACCCCTGTCTCCTTGCATTGCCTTTTTGCAATAGGTAATTTTCTCTCCTCTTAATCACTGGGTATGTGAACTATTTTGGCCCAACTATGCACCAGGCAGGGACCACGTTTGGTCCAATCCTACTCCTCACTTACAGTCTGTGTCATTATCTGACATTTTGCATTTATACTTAAAAATCTACTATTTTGCACATTAATGAGACAGGGGGCATGGTGGCAATGGCTGTGGAGCATCCCCTCCCTTGAAGAGGGATTACAGGAGGCCTCCAGGAAGTTGAGCTGCACTATTCCACTGTCCAGCACCTTCTACTCCCCCCTGCCAGTGGTGGTGCCACAATCCTCTGCCAAGCAAGGTAGGGCCAGCCTTCTGCATGGCCATGACCTTCGGGCTAGCCAGCGGGCACCTGTGTTGTGTTCCTGGTTCTGATGCAGCCTGAGGCCCTACAGTTCAAATTTCTGTATGATGTGAAGGGAGGAAAGAAAGAGGCATCAGAGAGGGTATTTGGAAGAAATACATGTGAGTTTAATGACATCTCAAAGTGAGCTGAGCTGAACTGAGCCTGAAGCCTCCACTTCAGTTCAGTGGGGCTGGGTAAGTGACCAGGCTCCTAGCACCCTTATAGGAAACCTCGAGCCTTGGTGACTTGACAGGCTCAAAGGGCACAACAGGCTCCAGGATCATGAACATAGGACTTGCAGTGTTGAAAGTGGAGCCCTGGATGTCACTTGGTGAGGGAAGCACTAACACAGCACAGGAGGAAGATGAAATGGTTAAGCCATGGCCCTCCAGTCACACAGACCAGCTTTATCCAGCTTTGTCTCCTCCAAGCCTCCTGCTCCACAGAGAAATAATCTTTAACTGGACTTGTGATAGTGATGAGTACATCAGTAAATCTTAGCTGTTATTATTTCTGTGATCATATTGCCCCCTTCCCAAAAAAAAGGTTGAACAAATGTATAGTCTGAGAACATAAAAAAAAAAAAATCCTCCATATTCATGTAATGCCAATTTTCACATAATGACCTGGTCTTTGGAACCTAACCCTGTAAATATGTGAGGTGTAGGTGTATATATATCAAATGGCACCTTGCCACCAGGGGTAACTGAGTTTCTTGTTCATTTGAACCATCTTAGAAATTGCAAGTGCATTTTTCTCCTAGTATCCAAATATATTTTTTGGAGACTTGCAGCTAAGCCACCTTCAGATACAAGTCTCTTGAATTCCTTATTATTCTAATTATTCACAAGCTTATATTTAGTAAACTTAAGAATATAATGCTACTTCTCAGGCTGGACATAAAAATTATCATTTAAAACTTAGTTATTTTAATATGCTGTTAATTAAAAGTGGGCATTTTGTATGTGAGAGTGGTTAAAGCACTCTGCTGATAACCAGAAGGTCAGTAGTTTGAACCCACCGGTTGCTCCACGGGAGAATGATGAGGCACTCTGCTTCCATAAATTACAGCCTTGGAAACCTTATGGGACAGTTCCACTCTGTTCTCTAGGATTACTATGGGTTGGAAATCAATTTGACAACAATGTGTTTGGTTTACCTCTTTTCTTAACCATTACCTCTTCATATTAGCTCCTAGTTTCTCATCTCAGGGAACATGATCATATCTAAGCTAAGATGTAAGAGAGTAAATGATTGTTATAGAAGACTTTGTTCTCAGTATTCAATGCCTTTATACTTCCTACTTTATAGACATGAAAATAGTAAGTAGAAATAATAAGTGGAAATGGTATCTTAGACTTGAATAATGTTTTCTGCTTCATTTTAGATCTGACCCTTCTTTTCAGATGCCCCCAAAAGTTTATGAAGATCCTGAAATTACTGGAAGGAATCGCTTTAAATATTTTGAAAGGTAGAAAGTAGTTATTAATGAACATGAACCTTGATTTTATTAGAGAATCTCTTTACCCTAATGATAACTTTATTTTTTTAAGTGCACATAGTATGCCAGGCACCATTTTAAATGCTTTACATACATATCATCTAATCTTAATAACAGAAATGTAGGATAGTAATTTTATTCTCATTCTACCAGTAAGGAAGCTAGGGCCCAGAAAGAAGTAGATTACTAGAAATCACACAGCTAGCAAGTGGGAGAGCTTGGATTTCAACTAGGCCTGACTTCAGAGGTATTGATTGCATGTAAGAATGTATATTTGAGAAGAAAGTGAAGTCATCAAATGATACGAGACAAGCAGAGATGTTATGGCAGTCACAGTGCAGGGAAAATTGTTTTAAGTGGAAACATGTTCTCTTTATATGAATGTTGTCAAAACCAATACAGCCAAGAGATTCTCATTCTGTTTCATTTGTGATGAATAGTCCGGTGATAGTCCTAATCTCTGTTCAAATTAAAATAAGATCACGATTTTCCTATTGATCTTACCTTAATTAGAAAAATACTCTTGATATCACCACATCTACATGAGCTTCCTTGAGAAAGTAAATTTGTGATCTGCATTATTATTTATAAGGAAGCTTCTTCTGGATATTTTATGAAGCTGACTTTTTTCCTGAGAAATGTTAAGATCCAAAGTATTGTATCCTCTATTTCTAGACTCTTTTGGAGGAAGCTTTAAACTAAATCATTGAGAATTTCAAAATATCTCAGGAAACTTGAGAAGTTGCTGGGAGCTTGTGCCAGCTGAAGTCCAAGTTAGGACATTGTTTCTTTTCCTTTTTTTAAAATGCATTTTATTGAAATATAATTTATGTACAGTGAAATACACAAAACTAAAGTGACATGGGTCAATGCATTTTTTTTTTTTTAGGACATTGTTTCTTTAAGTGTGGCTTGCTTACCATCAACAGAGACAATATTGTTTATTTCAATATTATTGGAAGTATTGTTATTTCCAGTGGAGATATTTTGGCTCTACCCTATATCTAGTGAATCTTTTGGGCCAGATCTTAGAATTTGTATTTTAAACAAGTGCCTCCCCATCCCTGAATGATTCTGTATGTGCTAACATTTGAGAATCAGTGATATATGACTTATTCAAGCTCACTGATTTTTAGGGATGAGTATTAGAGATGGCAGGGAACTTAAGACTGCACCCAGTGCTGAAGTCCATAACCCTTCCCTTTCCTTTTCCTCCCACAGGCCTTTCCTTCCATTTCATAAACAGATGCCATTCAATGTTGTTTTTTCAGTAACCAAGTAAGTAACCATTATTAAGCCTTTGTTTCCATTTATTTTTTTATTGTTTCTTTCCATATTTGGTTCCAGAACAGAGTTATCTAAATCAGTATTTTTCAAAGTTTGAATCAAACACCATTAGAAGATTATGGAATCTTCCAATGGATCATGAGCAGCACTTTAAAAAGTGAAATAGAACATAGAATAACCAAAAGTATCAGATGTATTATGGTTAAGTTGTTTTTTGTTTATAACTTTTGTTTTCAGATATATATATATGATTTATACATATATATATATATATATGTACACACACATATACACACAGACACATATATACACACCATATGTATAAAATGGGTTATGATGTAAAATGTATTTCTATGAGTTGTGATAAAAAAAAAGTTGAAAAATGTTTTAAGTGTCCTCTCTTGCTTTCCTGAAACATAGACTTGTTATTTGACTATGTTGTTGTTATGTGCCATCGAGTTGGCCCCGACTCATAGCGACCCTTCCTTGGGTTTCTGAGGCAGTATCATTACGGAAGTAGATTGCCCCATCTTCCTTCCAAGGAGTGGCTGGTGGGTTTGAACCGCCAGCCTTCTGGTTAGCAGTCAAGTGCCTTAGCCACGATGCTACCAGAGCTCCCATTATTTGACTATAGTTCTTCAATATTTTATCAAGAAAACTAATCAGTCATGAAGTGGTTTTTGAATCCTGAGATGTTATAAATTATTAGTCATGTAATCTACTCAAAGCAATATGGGGCACAAAGATAAATAAAAGGAGGTTTCTGTCTTACAAAGAAGTGAACCAAGGTGAGGGGGGTAAAGGATATTACCCAGGATAAATGTGTAATTCCCTATCCTTTAGTTGTAGGGCAAGACAACGATTAGGTAGAGGATCCCTTTAAAAGTCCAACCTTTGCTACACTCTTTTCTATGTTAATATAACTTAATACTTAGAGGAAAAAGTTCCAAGTATTCATGAAATGATCAGAAAAATAAATCTTTTTTTTTTTTTTTTAGTTGTCAGATTTCTGAATAGAAATTTATTTAGGACTGAATTTTCAAGTAGGCATTTGACAGATATAGTTATTCCTAATGATGTTGGAGAATAGATGGGGGAAATGATGTATGACATCATGCTTGGTAGAGGGTCAGCAAAAAACGGGAAGACCGTCAGTGAGATGGATTGGCACTCTGGCTGCAACAGTAGGCTCAAGCATAACAGTGGTTGTGAAGATGCCACAGGACCAGTGAGTGTTTTGTTCTATTGTATGTAAGGTTGCTATGAGTTGGAACCAATCCAAAAGCACCTAGCAACAATAGTGATACATAGCATTTTATGAATAGGACAAATGTTATTATCAAATATCTGCAATCCTTAAGATAATTGCCAGTTATCATTCTAATTCTCCCTTAATGTTTTAGATCAGGTATGGAAACCTGAGGCATTTGACTGCTAACCAGAAGGTTTGCAGTTCAAACCCACCAGCCCTCTGTGGAAGGAAGGTGGGGCAATCTACTTCTGTAAAGATTAACTGCCTCAGAAACCCAATGGGGGTTGCTATGAGTCAGAATCGACTGGATGGCAGTGAGTTTGAGTGTTTTTTTTGTGTGTGTATGTGTGTGTGTGTGTAAACCTTTGGCTCTGACAAAGGTGAAGAACAGATGTGCGGCTCTACCCCTAGACAGAGCAACTGGCAAGGTGCCAGTCTACTTGGGGGCAGCTGCAGACTTGTGTTCCATAACATGCTGTATCTGAGCAGAGGAAGAACTCTGAGATCTCAGAGTGGATCCCTGTAGCTCCCTCTAATAATTATTTAAAAGCAGGCTCTCTGGATCACCTGCTTGCTGTAGGTCTAAAAATTGTTAAAGTGATTGTAGGGAGTTTGAGGCCTACAGTGATGAACTCTCTGCCTCTCTCACTCCTTCCCAAATAACGTAAAGGATAAGATTCCCCCAAGAGTTAAATCTTGAAATCAGTTTGACAGTCCAGATTAGAAATTTTTATGGAGTGAATCAGTATTACTGAGTGCCATCTGCTCTGGAATTCTGTGGGTTTGAGGTTCTGAGCTGTAAGGATAATGCCACCTGTGTTAGTAGGATGGACTTGTGTAGTGAGTGACTAGTTAGCCTTTTCCAGCTACACTCTTTGTATAGCTAGCTATTGGAGTCTTTATGTTAGACTCTATGAAAGCTTCCTGGCAAGGAGGATAAAAAGTTAGTATCAAAGAACATTCAGTAGAGTTCATAGTAATGGATTTACCAGGCTTTGAAGTTGCTCTTTGTGTGTAGCTTTGTTGGTGCTGGAAGGGAAAATCTAGAAGACTGTGGGTGTGGCAGACCATGGATGCTCCTGGTGCTGGTCTAGGGTAGAGGTGGAAGGCCCTGGATGGAGGGAATAGAACATTGGCTACTGCCAGTTTCCAAAGTCAGAGTTTGTGAGCTTGGCAATGTGATCCAGGACAAAGCAGGGGTCCATCTCAGTAGGGAGAAGATGTGGGAATCTCTCTGGGTTTGGGTCCTGATCAAAGTTGGGGAGATAGTAGGAAAGGGATCATTGATCTTTCCTATTTACATATTACTCTGCCCTAAAACAACTAAAATGGGGACCAAAAATATAGATTGGAAAAATAATTAGGAAAGAAATGGTATGTTAAGTTCCCATAGGAGTTCTGTCACAGTAGCATCCTCTCCTCTCACCCACCTGGAAGATATTACACCATCAGAAAACTTAGAAGGATTTATTAGGCTTATCATAATATTTGTACATTTGATTAGATGGTTCAAATATATAATTACTCAATTTGGAAAAACAATAATTTATTCTCTTGATTCCAGGTAATGGTTATGATAATATATGATCAGGGCTGAATTGGAGTTGTTTCCTCAACTAGAATTTTTAATAGTAGAATAATTTCTTCTGAAAACATAAGACCATGACATCCTATATTGTCTGCGTATGTTAGAAATTCATAGCAATTGATGAAAAGTGATTTCAACACTGGTTAGAATTCAGCATTAAAAACAGTTTAAAGTACTTGTTGTATCACAGATTGAATCTCCAAATAAGTGCTTTTTTTCTAAATGGTTTGAAATGTACTTTTCTCAGAGCTAAGCTGATATGCCATGTTCATGTGTAAGAAGGTACCCTTGCTGCTGACTTTTTTAAAAAATTGAAGTATCTCTTTGTTTTTGCATTCTCTTTCACCAAAGCATCAAAGCCATTACAGTCAAGTTGATGCCAACTCATAATGACCCTGTAGGGCCGAGTGGAACTGCCCCATAGACTTTCTAAGGCTGTAAATCTTTTTTTTTTTTAGTGCATTTTATTGAAATATAATTTATGAACAGTGAAATACACAAACTAAAGTGACATGGGTCGATGCATTTTTTGTTTGTTTTGTTTTTGCAACAACCAAAGAAAGTTTCCCTCCATATATGAGCCTTTCCTTGACCCTCTACAACAATGAACTAATACTATATTTGTCCTTCTGTGATCAATTTCTTTCACTCAGCATAATGTCCTCCAAGTTCATCCATGTTATGTGGTGTTTTGCAGACTCTCCATTATTCTTCAATGCTGCATAGCATTCCATTGTGTTCATGTACCATAGTTTGGTCATCCACTCTTCCATTGATGGGCACGTAGGTTGTTTCCATCTTTTTGCTATTGTAAATGGTTCTGTGGTGAACATGGGTGTGCATGTATCTGTTCCCTGGCTCTCACCTCTCTAGGATATATACCTAGTAATGGGATTGCTGGGTCAAATGGTATCTACAATTCCAGCTTTCTAAGGAATCGCCATCCTGCCTTCCACAGTGGTTGTATCACTTTACAATCCCACCAGCAGTGTATGAGAGTCACAATCTCTCCACATCCCCGCCAGCATTTGTTATTTTCTGTCCATTGAACCTTGCTGTAAGTTCTGGGGTAAGATGGCATCTCATTGTTGTTTTGATTTGCATCTCTCTGATGGCCAAAGATCGTGAGCATTTCTTCATGTATTTGCTGGCCACCTGAATACCCTCCTTGGCAAAGTGTCTATTCATGTCTTCTGCCAATTTTTCAACTGGATTGTTAATCCCTTTGCTGTTGAGGCACTGGAGTTTTCTATAAATTTTAGAGATAAGTCCCTTGCCAGGTATGTAATTATTGACAAGTATGAATCTGTTGCTGCCATTTTTGTTATGTGCTTTTTCGTGATGTTAATTTCTTTGTACCATATAATTTTCTGTGCTGAGCTCATTTTGTTTATGAATCTTGTTATCACTTCCTTTGTTGCTATTGTTTTAGTAGTTGCTAAGTATTTGTGCACACAGGAATCAGATTGACTACATCTGTGGCAAGAGGCGGTGGAAAAGCTCAATATCTTCAGCCAAAACCAGGCCAGGAGCTGATTGTGGAACAA